ATACTTTACTATAGCTAAAAACATCAATGACGTCGTCAAAACCAACCCGTCAGTCGAATTACATACTTTACTATAGCTAAAAACATCAATGACGTCGTTAAAACCAACCCGTCAGTCGAAATACATACCTTACAAAAGCTTCAAACATCAATGACGTCGTCAAAATCCAACCGTCAGTCGAAATACATTCTTTACAAAAGCTTCAAACATCAATGACGTCGTCAAAACCAACCCTTCAGCCGAATAACATACTTTACTATAGCTAAAAACATCAACTTTCAAAACCAATAGCTATAGCTCAAGAAACATCAATGAGGTCGTCAAAACCAACCCGTCAGTCGAAATACATACTTTATTATAGCTAAAAACATCAATGACGTCGTGAAAACCAACCCGTCAGTCGCATTGCATACTATCCAATAGCTTAAAACATCAATGACGTCGTCAAAACCAACCCGTCAGTCGAATTACATACTTTGTTATAACTTAAAGCATCAATGAGGTCGTCAAAACCCAACCGTCAGTCGAAATACATACTTTTCAAAAGCTTAAAACATCAATAGCTAAAAACATCAATGACGTCGTCAAAACCAACCCGTCAGTCGAATTACTTTTACACTATAGCTAAAAACATGAATGACGTCGTGAAAACCAACCCGTCAGTCGAATTACATACTTTACTATAGCTAAAAACATCAATGACGTCGTTAAAACCAACCCGTCAGTCGAATTACATACTTTGTTATAACTAAAAGCAACAATGACGTCGTTAAAACCAACCCGTCAGTCGAATTACATACTTTACTATCGCCAAAAGCATTAATGACACCGTCAAAACCAACCCGTCAGTCGAATTGCATTCTTTACTATAGCTAAAAACATCAATGACGTCGTTAAAACCAACCCGTCAGTCGAATTGCATTCTTTACTATAGCTAAAAACATCAATGACGTCGTCAAAACCAACCCGTCAGTCGAAATACATACTTTATTATAGCTAAAAGCATCAATGACACCGTCAAAACCAACCATTAGGTCGAATTTCTTTAGCTAAAAACATCAATGATGTCGTCAAAACCCAACCGTTAATCGAAATACATTCTTTACCAAAGCTTAAAACATCAATGAGGTCGTCAAAACCAACCCGTCAGTCAAATTACATACTTTACTATAGCTAAAGAAACACCAATGACGTCGTGAAAACCAACCCGTCAGTCGAATTACGTACTATCCAATAGCTAAAAACATCAATGAGGTCGTCAAAACCCAACCGTCAGTCGAAATACATACTTTACAAAAGCTTAAAACATCAATGACGTCGTCAAAACCAACCCGTCAGTCGAATTGCATACTTTACTATAGCTTAAAACATCAATGAGGTAAAAACATCAATGCTAATAACGTCGTGAAAACCAACCCGTCAGTCGAATTACATACTTTACAATAGCTAAAGAAACATCAATGACGTCGTGAAAACCAACCCGTCAGTCGAATTACATACTTTACTATAGCTAAAGAAACATCAATGACGTCGTGAAAACCAACCCGTCAGTCGAATTACATACTTTACTATAGCTAAAGAAACGTCAATGATGTCACCAAAACCAACCGTCAGTCGAATTACATACTTTACAAAGCTAAAAAATCAATGACGTCGTCAAAACCAACCGTCAGTCGAAATACATACATTACTATAGCTAAAGAAACATCAATGACGTCACCAAAACCAAACCGTCAGTCGAATAACATACTTTACTATAGCTAAAAGCATCAATGACGTCGTGAAAACCAACCCGTCAGTCGAATTACATACTTTACTATAGCTAAAGAAACATCAATGACGTCGTGAAAACCAACCCGTCAGTCGAATTACATACTTTACTATCGCTAAAAGCATTAATGACACCGTCAAAACCAACCCGTCAGTCGAATTACATACTATACTATAGCTAAAGAAACATCAATGACGTCACCAAAACCAACTCGTCAGTCGAATTGCGTACTATCCAATAGTTAAAAACATCAATGACGTCGTCAAAACCAACACTTCAGCCGAATAGCATACTTTACTATAGCTAAAAACATCAATGAGGTCGTCAAAACCAACACGTCAGTCGAATTACATAATTTACAATAGCTAAAAACATCAATGATGTCGTCTAAAGCAACCTTTAGGTCGAATTGCTTTTGCTAAAAACATCAATGATGTCGTCAAAACCAACCGTTAGTCGAAATACATACCTTATTATAGCTGAAAGCATCAATGACACCTTCAAAACCAACCATGGGTCGAATTACATTAGCTTAAAACATCAATGAGGTCATCAAAACCAACACGTCAGTCGAATTACATACTTTACTATAGCTAAAAACATCAATGACACCGTCAAAACCCAACAGTTAGTCGACTTACATACTTTACTATAGCTAAAGAAACATCAATGACGTCCTCAAAACAAACCCGTTAGTCGAAATACATATTTTACAAAAGCTTAAAATATCAATGACATCGCCAAAGCCAACCCGTCAGTCGAATTACGTACTATCCAATTGCTAAAAACATCAAAAACATCAAACTCGTCAAAACCAACCCTTCAGCCGAATAACATACTTTACTATAGCTAAAAACATCAATGACGTCATCAAAACCAACAAGTCAGTCGAATTACATACTTAACTATAGTTAAAAACATCAATGAGGTCGTCAAAACCAACCCGTCAGTCGAAATACATAATTTATTATAGCTAAAAACATCAATGATGTCGTCAAAACCAACCGTCAGTCGAAATACATACTTTACAATAGCTTAAAACATCAATGAGGTCGTCCAAACCAACCCTCAGTCGAAATACATTCTTTACAAAAGCTTAAAACATCAATGACGTCGTCAAAACCAAACTTTAGGTGAAATTACTTTAGCTAAAAACATCCATGACGTCGTCAAAACCAACACGTCAGTTGAAGTACATACTTTACTATAGCTAAAAACATCAATGATGTCGTCAAAACCAACCGTCAGTCGAATTACATACTTTACAATAGCTTAAAACATCAATGACACCGTCAAAACCAACCATTATGTCGACTTACTTTAGCTAAAAACATCAATGATGTCGTCAAAACCAAACTTTAGGTGAAATTACATTAGCTAAAAACATCCATGACGTCGTCAAAACCAACACGTCAGTCGAATTACATACTTTACTATAGCTAAAAACATCAATGATGTCGTCAAAACCAACCGTCAGTCCAATTAAATACTTTACAATAGCTTAAAACATCAATGACGTCCTCTAAACCAACCTTTAGGTCGAATTACTTTAGCTTAAAACATCGATGAGGTCGTGAAAACCAAACTTTAGGTGAAATCACTTTAGCTAAAAACATCCATGACGTCGTCAAAACCAACACGTCAGTCGAATTACATACTTCACTATAGCTAAAAACATCAAAGACACCGTCAAAACCAACCAATATGATTGACCCAAACCACGGACTTGGATAAATTTCAAGTTCGTGATACCAAACCCGAGAGCAGCATAATCTCGTTATTTGTTGATTCTATAGGGAATAATTCAATTAAAAGAAATGATTAGTCTTATAATCGCTTGATGACTTCATCAGAGATTTATATATTCTTCGTCACACAATATTATGCACGAACTAGGCAATTACGATTACCGGGAGTAAAGTTTCACCGTTTTGATCCCTTGTGAATGGGAATAAACTGAATACTGTCATTTTTTTAAAAGTTGAAAATGTAAGTGTGACAAAAGATAGTCATATATTTGACCGATCGGTCATTTCCTGTGATTAAACATTTCGTCTATAATTTTTTGCTGACCAAAAAATCCCGAAAATCATTATGGCGGCATCGCAAAATCTTTAGTGATCTTTCCATAAAAAGAATCCTATGGCTCCGTAATGTGCGCACTTCTACCTTGGACCTATGATTTTTAAGAAAAATGCTCACTTCACGATCGGATTTTTATGATAAACCATTTATAAGCGGTTGTTTACGTGTTATGGAAATCAAAGATACGACAAAATCTTCTACATAAGCTGGTAATCCCGATATTTTCCTATAACGAAACCAACATGGACAGCTTTACATCAAATCATATGATAAACGTGATTCTTCCAATTTCCCTAATGTGAATTTTCCATTTTTGGATAGCAATATCCCTGCATCTTCAGCCCATGATATTTGCATGTCATAGTTGATTCGATAGTGTTCCCATTATCACGATTTTCGTGCAAGAAGTCGTCAACTGACTGACAAACTCGTAATACATGGGTTCAAAAGATGTAGGTTAATGAAAATTATGGGGAAATTTTGTGATCGTCATAGTGATCTTATTGAGAAATATTTTATTTCTTTGTGCGCCATAAAGCTGGACGTATTTGATGCTCGTTAGTTGTTGTTGTAAATTTTGTTCTCATTTAAGAACGTGACATTACGTACTTCAATTGACAAAGGTTTACATGGGTGTCGTCGATAAAGCACAGAAGACTCTTACTCTTCCGTAACACATGGTCTTGTTCTCATTGTACGTATTTCAGGGGTTTCCGTGTAAATCTTTCTTTTGTTCCTATTTGCCTATATTTATGGAATTTGGACATGAATTATGATTATGTTGCCAGTTAAGTATTTTCTTGATCTTTTCACAATATCGTATAACAATGCAATTGGCAATCTCTTGATTTAGAAATTAAGTTGTTTTCTTGTGAATCATACATTTTGCAAAAATTCCATTGAGTTGTTTCAAAATTTCAAGCTTTGCCTTTGATAATCATCTTCTATAAAAGAGTTTGATTGTTTTGCATAGGATGGATATATATGAATATAAAGATTAATATATTAGTATGTAAAGATTTATATATATGTGTTTATTTATTATAAACGTGTTAAGCCTTACAGTAATTGCAGTACTTTTGTTATGTTTATTGCTAAAAGTTTGGTTTAAGTAAGTTTCAAAATGATTAAAAACATTATATCATCAGAAATGTTGTCTGGTGGATAAGAATAAAGTCACCAAAACAATCAGAGTTAATGTTTGTGTCGTCAGCTGTGAGGTATTTCCAGCATTTATGTCATCGTCATTGTTATTGTTTTTTCTCCTAATTCTCTCGGGTTTACAGGATAACCGTGATATGTCTCTGGCCTGGAATGCTGGACATTTTGTCTCTTTGCACGAGCTTTTGGCCAGTTTCTCTTTAACGGTCATTTCCTGTTCCGTCTCTAATCCAAAACACATACTATTCATAAGTTGTCTCTTTACATACTCGTGCTCTGTCCAATGCTCACTTCCACCTAGCTGTACGCATGTGCAGTTGATGTAGTTGTCAGATATAGCAAGCTGGTTGACAGTCGATACGATGTTATCCAGAGCAAGGCATGGGAATGTCTCCATCCTATTTTCTGTGAAAGTGACTTTTCCCACTGACTGCATGTCGTGAAGGAAAGGTCCACTAAAATGTATTAGCCTCGTTCTGGTTATAACAAATCCTTTTTCTACATTAGAAATGTCACTAAACACGTTCGGATCTATCTCGTGAATTGTACAATTTGAAATCTGAAACATAGTGAGGTTAGTCAGGTGAGAGAACGCGGCAGTTTCCAAAGTGGTAACCGTGGTCAACTGTAGAACGACCGAAGTGGGCGTGGCGATGTTACTTATTGCCATGGTAGCAATAGAACCAATGACAGTCCTGATCACATAAAGATCCTCTAGGTAAGGTAACCCCTCGAAGGCACAGCCTGCGATACGTCCAATATTACTACGACTGAACTCAATAGTTTTTACCATGGGAATGCTTCTGAATGCATCAGCCGGTATCAGCTCCGTCACCAGTTGTTCGAAGAAGATTTTTGTGGTGTTTTGAGGAAACCTTTTGGGTACGTGTATCAACTCAAAACAACGAACAATTGTTGCTCTACAGGAACATTGTCCCCCGCAAAGGTCATCCCCATCTGGCTCCTCAACATGTCCACGCCCTGGGGTCGGGGAACATAACAACAAGATGACGCCCCAGAACACATATCGTGCACCTATTTTCTGTAAAAGTATAGGAAAATTATGGTACTTAATAGTCAACATCCGTGAGAGCTGAAATAACAAGGTTTAGTCTTTAATACCATAATGATTAACGTCGCAAATTGTTTTATAAACTATATACTATCTCATCTTTGGTTTAATTAACAGTGATTTGTGAATACTTTGATAACAGCATTACGCAATGGAAATGTAGAAAGATAGAATGTATAGCTTTTCATGCTAGCCGTTATGAATTGATACCATGTCAAGTTTGGATTAGGTCGGTTCACATATGGGCATTTGTTGTTATTTGCTGTGTTATGTTAACGAACAGCTGTCATGATACATGTATCAGTTATTTTATAAAGAATTTTAGATTTAGATTTTAGATTTCTTCTGGTGATATTGAAACATTTTTAGCATTTATTGTCTCCTATGGTGATTTGTGTTAAGTTCATACAACATGTTATCAATCAATGGCTACCTAGTTTATTATTGTTGGGTTCATAGGCATGTTTGGTTTTTAAATAACTAGCTTCCTAGTTTTGTTATTGTGATGTTCATAGGCATGTTTGGTTTATCAACCAATAGCTTCCTAGTTTATTATTGTGATGTTCATAGGCATGTTTGGTTTATCAATCAATAGCTTCCTAGTTTATTATTGTGAGGTTCATAAGCATGTTTAGTTGATAAAGTAATAGCTTCCTAGTTTATTATTGTGAGGTTCATGGGCATGTTTGGTTTATGAACCAATAGCTTCCTAGTTTATTTTTGTGAGGTGATATGCATGTTTGGTATATCAACCAATAGCTTCCTAGTCTTTTATTGTGAGGTTCATAGGCATGTTTAGTTTACCAATCACTAGCTTCCTACTTGATTATTGTGAGGTTCAAAGACCTATTTGGTTTATCAACCAATAGCTTTCTAGTCTATTATTGTGAGGTTCATAGGCATGTTTGGTTTATCAATCACTAGCTTCCTAATTGATTATTGTAAGGTTGAAAGTCATGTTTGGTTTATCAACCAATAGCTTCCTAGTCTATTATTGTGAGGTTCATAGGAATGTTTGGTTTTTCAATCAATAACTTACTAGTTTATTATTGTAAGGTTCATAGTCATATTTAGTTTCTCAATCACTAGCTTCCTAGTTTTGTTATTGTGAGGTTCATAGGCATGTTTGGTTTAACAACCTATAGCTTCCTAGTTTATTATTGTGAGGTTCATAAGCATGTTTGGTTTATCAATCTATAGCTTTCTAGTTTATTAGTGTCATGTTCATAGGCATGTTAATTTATCAATCACTAGCTTCCTAGTAGATTGTGAGGTTCATAGGCATGTTTAGTTGATCAGTCAATAGCTTCCTAGTCTATTATTCTGAGGTTCATAAGCATGTTTGATTGATCAATCAATAGTTTCCCAGTTGATTTGGAGGTTCATAGGCATGTTTAGTTTATCTATCACTAGCTTCCTAGTCTATTATTGTTAGGTTCATAGGCATGTTTGGTTTATCAATCACTAGCTTCCTAGTTCATTATTGTGAGGTTCATAGCCATGTTTAGTTTATCAATCACTGGCTTCCTAGTCTATGATTTTGAGGTTCAAAGGCATATTGTTATCAACCAATAGCTTCCTGGTCTATTATTGTGAGGTTTATAGGCATGTTTGGTTGATCAATCAATAGCTAACTAGTTTCTTATTGTGAGGTTCATAGGCATGTTTAGTTGATCAATAACTCGCTCCTAGTTTTGTTATTGTGAGGTTCATAGGCATGTTTGGTTTATCAACCAATAGCTTCCTAGTTTATTAATATGAGGTTCATAGGCATGTTTAGTTTATCAATCACTAGCTTCTTACTACTTGATTATTATGAGATTCAAAGGCATATTTGGTTTATCAACAAATAGCTTCCTTCTCTATTATTGTGAGGTTCATAGGAATGTTTGGTTTATCAATCACTAGCTTCCTAATTTATTATTGTGAGGTTGAAAGTCATGTTTGGTTTATCAAGCAATAGCTTCCTAGTCTATTATTGTTACGTTCATAGGAATGTTAATCTATCAATAATTAGCTTCCTAGTTTTGTTATTGTGATGTTCATAGGCATTTTTGGTTTATCAACCAATAGCTTCCTAGTTTGTTAGTGTGATGTTCATAGGCATGTTTGGTTTATCAACCAATAGCTTCCTAGTTTATTATTGTGATGTTCATAGGCATGTTTGGTTTATCAATCAATAGCTTCCTAGTTTATTATTGTGAGGTTCATAAGCATGTTTAGTTGATAAAGCAATAGCTTCCTAGTTTATTATTGTGAGGTTCATTGGCATGTTTGGTGTATCAACCAATAGCTTCCTAGTCTATTTTTGTGAGGTTCAAAGGCATGTTTAGTTGATCAATCAATAGCTTCCTAGTTGATTGTGAGGTTCACAGGCATGTTTAGTTTATCAATAACTAGCTTCCTAGTTGATTGTGAGGTTCATAGCCATGTTTAGTTTATCAATAACTAGCTTACTAGTTTATTTTTGTGAGGTGATATGCATGTTTGGTTTATCAATCAATACCTTCCTAATTTATTATTGTGAGGTTCATTGGCATGTTTGGTTTATCAACCAATAGCTTCCTAATCTATTATTGTGAGGTTCATTGGCATGTTTGGTATAACAACCAATAGCTTCCTAATTTATTATTGTGAGGTTCATTGGCATGTTTGGTTTATCAACCAATAGCTTCCTAGTTTATAAGTATCAGATACATATTACTAGATAATTGTTTTGCGATTGTTGCTTTGTGTGAGGTCTATCACTTGATATGTCAGTTTAGTCATAGAATAGCTTGTTATTTTATTGTGTTAGGATCATTACTTAAACTGATTCACAAGTATGCTTGTAAGCCTTATCGAGTTCAGTTTTGTGCGACAGCAGTTTGGCTATGACTGTCCATTAACATTGCAATTGCGCTACACCTCTGAATTATCGTTAAGCGTGACATCTGGGTCAATGGCGAAATCAAAATGCCAACATGGAAAATTAATGTGGCTGAACTTAGAGCATCCGTTGGGAAGGGGGAGGGAGGGGGGACTTTGAGCGTTTTTTTAGTATAGTATTAAATTCTTAACTACAGAATAATGTTAATCAGTTAATGTCGTGTTAGAAAAAGGCCTATAATCACTGGTCTCTAATATTGACTACAGTACCAGGGAAATTAGTATCTGATATTGACTAAAGTACCAGAATAATTAGTTAATATCGTGTTATAAAAAGGCCTATAATCACTGGTCTCAGATATTGCCTACAGTGCCAGGATAATTAGTTAATGTGTTAGAAAAAGACCTGTGATCACTGGTCTCTGATATTGCCTACAATGCCAGGATAATTAGTTAATGTGTTAGAAAAAGACCTGTAATCACTGGTCTTTGATATTGACTACAGTACCAGAATAATTAGTTGATATCGTGTTATAAAAAGACCTATAATCACTGGTCTCTGATATTGGGGTTATAACTACAGTACCAGGATAATTAGTATCTGATATTGACTACAGTACCAGGATGATTAGTTAATAGCGTGTTATAAAAAAGATCTATAATCACTGGTCTCTGATATTGACTACAGTACCAGGATATTTAGTTAATATCGTGTTATAAAAAGGCCTATAATCACTGGTCTCTGATATTGACTACAGTACCAGGATAATTAGTTGATATCGTGTTATAAAAAGGCCTATAATCACTGGTCTCTGATATTGGGGTTATAACTACAGTACCAGGATAATTAGTATCTGATATTGACTACAGTACCAGGATGATTAGTTAATAGCGTGTTATAAAAAGATCTATAATCACTGGTCTCTGATATTGACTACAGTACCAGGATATTTAGTTAATATCGTGTTATAAAAAGGCCTATAATCACTGGTCTCTGATATTGGGGTTATAACTACAGTGCCAGGATAATTTGTTAATATCGTGTGTGAAAAAGACCTATAATCACTGGTCTCTGATATTGACTACAGTACCAGGAAAATTAGTTAATGTCGTGTTAGAAAAAGGCCTATAATCACTGGTCTTTGATATCGGGGTTATAACTACAGTGCCAGAATAATTAGTTAATATCGTGATAGAAAAAGACCTATAATCACTGGTATCTGATATTGACTACAGTACCAGGGAAATTAGTATCTGATATTGACTAAAGTACCAGGATAATTAGTTAATGTTTTGTTATAAAAAGGCCTATAATCACTGGTCTCTGATATTGACTACAGTACCAGAATAGTTAGTTAATGTCGTGTTAGAAAAATGCCTATAATCACTGGTCTCTGATATTGACTACAGTACCAGGATTATTAGTCTCTGATATTGATTATAGTACCAGGATAATAAGCTAATTTCGTGTTAAAAAAGGCCTATAATTACTGGTCTCTGATATTGGGGTTATAACTACAATACCAGGATAATTAGTAGATGTCGTGTTAGAAAAAGGCCTATAATCACTGGTCTCTGATATTGGGGTTATAACTACAGTGCTAGAATAATTAGTTAATATCGTGTTAGAAAAAGGCCTATAATCACTGGTCTCTGATATTGACTATAGTACCATGATAATTAGTTAATGTTGTGTTAGAAAAAGGCCTATAATCACTGGTCTCTGATATTGACTACAGTGCCAGGATAATTAGTTAATGTGTTAGAAAAAGACCTGTAATCACTGGTCTTTGATATTGACTACAGTGCCAGAATAATTAGTTAATATCGTGTTAGAAAAAGGCCTATAATCACTGGTCTCTGATATTGACTACAGTACCAGAATAATTAGTTAATATCGTGTTATAAAAAGACCTATAATCACTGGTCTCTGATATTGGGGTTATAACTACAGTACCAGGATAATTAGTATCTGATATTGACTACAGTACCAGGATGATTAGTTAATAGCGTGTTATAAAAAGATCTATAATCACTGGTCTCTGATATTGACTACAGTACCAGGATAATTAGTTAATGTGTTAGAAAAAGACCTGTAATCACTGGTCTTTGATATTGACTACAGTGCCAGAATAATTAGTTAA